CAAGTTATGGATGTTGTATTTTCTTTTTACCAATAAAATCTTTTTTAAAAATTAAAAAAAAAAAAACATTGTTATTTTTACATGATTTAAACTGGTGGAATGTAGGGGCCAAAAAGGCAGCAGAGCTTGGAAAATCTGATAGGCAGGAGGAGGGCTAAGATGGTCCCTCCCTAGCAGCTCACACCATATATCTATAGTTATGCAGATAGTTGCTTGAGTCTGGCAAGATTGAGATCAGGCTCCACAAACCAAGAATGGCATGTGGAATTACTTCTGAGTAGTTTCTGCCTACAGACAGAAATCTTGTCAGACTCAAGCAACTATTTGCATAACTATAGATACACCCTGTGAACTACTAGGGAGCAGCCGTCTTAGTCCTCCACTGCCTCTTTACTCTCTGGGAAGCAACCCCTCCCTCCTGGGACTCCAGACTAAATTGCACCACATTTAATAAGTAAATACTGCATGAATGCATAAATTATATACAAACAAAAGCTCTTTTGGGGTCTTTCTTCCATAATTTTTAAAAGTGGGAAGGGGTCCTGAGAGTAAAAAACAAAACAAAACACTGCCCTAGATGCTGCTGGCCTGCAGGGATTTAAATAAAAAACCAAAAGCCAGTCCAAATGATAACTTTAACCTTCTAACTATCTCATGAAATTAGGAAGAACAGGCATGATCCACATGGTTTTATTTTTAATAATACATCAATGCTTTCTGTAAATGTAGGGTTTGCCAAATGCCAACTTGAGATAGGGTCCAGAAATCTAGTAGTTCCTTGGGGCAGAAAGAAATGCTCACCATGATTCATCTCATTTTCTTCTTCATCCATGGGATTGATGTGTGTCCTAGGCCAGTATTCTAACAGAGCTTGCAGCAGAAGCCCCCCAAGGTTCACTGTATATTGTGATACAAAGGAAACAAAGAAGCATGATTAATTATATTTATGTTGTTACTACTGTTAGTCACAGATGTTTAAACAAAAATCCATGAATCCCTTTGCCGATGAGAACGGAGCCCCAGGGGAGAAAGTGCATCCCTCCTGGTCTCTGTTTTCATCGGCAAAGGACTTTTTGCCGATGTAGGCCTCGGCAAGCTTTTGCTGAAGACGAAACCGTGGCAGAGAGGCTGGAGAGGAGACAGCTCCATTGATCATCGAGATCTACATAAGATAAGTGATCTGGTCGGGCAGGATTGGGGGGGGGGAAACATGAGATATCTCAGTGGGTCTGGGAAAGCACTAGGCCCCACATGGCCTTCCCCACCCTGAGATACCGTGTGCACTTAACGACCCACGCATTTGATTACAAAATGTGTGGGCAAAAGCAGGGAGTAATCACGTTTAAGTTATGTGATTCACTCCTACGAATCCTCGGATTACGAATGTGATTGGCAAACTCCCTTACATTCGTAACTCAACGACTACCTTTATCTCTGCATCCAATAAATATGACCATGTCTTTAAGAAAACTAGCCCTTTTGTGACATTAAGAAAACACACTCACATTTTGGGTCAGATCCATCTGCACTGCTAAACCCAGCATCTTTGGCTGAGACCCAAGCTGTGAAGCAGTCACTTTCATCTAAAGTAATAGTTAACATCTGCCAAAAAAAGGCCATTAGGTGAGATTTGAAATGCATTAGAACAAAACTTTTATTGGCATTCAAAGGATAGAAAACACTGATGAGCACATTTGATTAGATAGCAATTCTAATAACAATGTCAGTGATTTCTTCATTACACTAAATCCATACTAATTTGAATAGGATACAGAATAAGATTTTTGTGCTTGATGCTAAATGTCCTTACTAGTGTTCACTAACATTCAAAGAAAGTGTGCCTCAATATAAATTTTCAAAGAAAAAAAAAATTGAATTAAAACTTGTTATTTAGCCAAAAGTATCAAAATACATATAAGTGATTTTTATTGTTCTGATACACGTGATATTGTAAAAGACCCCCAAAAAGCTAGGAAATAAGTCAAATGAAGTTTCTTCTTTTTCTCTATTCTACTTCAAGCACCATGTTTCTTACAGATCCGTGATGGCGAACCTATGGCACGCGTGCCACGGGTGACACGCGGAGCAATTCAGCTGGCCAGCGCACATGCGCGTGCTGGCCAGCTGACTTTGGCCTTCTTTTGAGGCCCTTTTTCTGAAGGCCCCTGAAGGCTCCGGAGGGCGAAAAACGGCCCTATGGACAAACCGGGAGTCACAATTCCCGAACTTCCAGTTTGCTCGTAGGTCTGTTTTTCACCCTCCAGAGCCTTCAGGGAAGCCTCCTGAAGGCTCCGGAGGTCAAAAATCGGCCCTATGGACAAACCAAAAGTCACCATTCCCAAACTTCTGGTTTCCCCATAGGTCCGTTTTTTGTCCTCAGGAGGCTTCAGGGAAACTCCTGAGGCCTCCGGAGGGCGTCCAGGGGGGCAGGGGAGGCTGTTTTCACCCTCCCCAGGCTCCTAGAAAGCCTGTGGAGCCTGGGGAGGGCAAAAAAA